CAGGTATATATAAGGTTGCCAACAACAGGTCAGATTTCACAATTGCAGCCAATTAACCAGCAATTATCAGAAAATATTTGAAAGTTAGATAGCATAGTTCGATTATCACTGATTATGTCTATACTGTGGAACATTTCTGAAGCGAATACTATACCTATGTAAAAGCTATCCATGTAACCTGTATCATTTTTTTTTCCTTACAAGCTAAGAAGTTTAAAATTTAATCATTTTTATTTCTGACTGTTTTTTCATTTCTTCTTAAAATTTCTTTGCTTCATTCTGGTTCTGTGCATTTTATGACTGATACATTACAATGTGTGAGATCGTATGTACGATCTAAAAATACAGACCCTGAAACGTGCTACTACCCCCCCAAAAAAAGTGTGGCTTTCGTGCGCTTTTCGTTTCGTGCAAACCGTGTATCGTTTCGTGCAAACCGTGTAGCGTTTCGTGTAAACCGTGCAGCGTTTCGTGTAAGCTCCAAAGCGTTTCGTGCAAACCGTGTAGCGTGCGTGCGAGAAGCGTGTGAGAACCGTGCGACTTTCGTGCAAGAATCATGTGAGAAACGTGTAGGATTCATTCGGAAGTCATTTAATTTTAAATATGGCTATGGATGGATTAACATGTCATTCTGTGTTGTTTGTTACTTATATTATTCGGATATATGATACCAGTGGTATTTTAAGCGATAAAAAAATACGGAAACAACAAAATAAAATTTCTCGGTAAATGTATTACATATTTGTTTGATTTTCTTTCTTTCTTTTGTTTAAATCAACATGGGCAGAAAATGTATTCAAAGTAATCAATTATATGCGTATCAATTTTTAGGGAATTTGATTCAATACATTTTTTTAAAGGGAGCAATACCGAACAGTTTTTAAAAAGAAAAATCTTCAGGAATCCGGTCATTTATTTGAATCTCTTCACCATTTTACAACTTTGGTATATAGAGATTAGAAGAACATATGGGTGATTAATACACAATAATAGATAGATACGGCGGGCATGAAAAATAAAACACAAAATTTAGTGCGTTGTTATAAATGTGAAGTATGGGAATTCTAGGCCGGGGAGGACAATTATTATTTTTTTCCTTATAAACGAACATAATTTTCTTATATTACAAGATTGTGATACAAATAATTTTGAAATGATGAGTCATTTATAGTCTTTTTATGCATAAAATTAGTTGATTAATAATTGTCTTACAAATGAATCATAATTCACATGCATCGGCAAATACAGGGTTAAATATTTCCGGGGGGGGGGGGGTTAAAATGAAAACACAAACTTTAAGTTTTTGTTGTTAACAAATTTTAATAGATAATTTTCTTTTTAAAGAAAATTATTGCTTTTTTCGGTGTTCGCCCGATGCACCCCTTAAAGATATATTGGAATCTTCTTTACACATCAGACACTCTTCTTACGACTGTGATCAAGGTCATTTACAACAGGGATCACGGGGTCCGCGTGCCGTGAACTGAAAACTTGTTCTGCTACATGGCTAAGATGTCACCCGACAATAATGAATGATTTTTAATTCGTGAAACTAAATGGTTTTATTCGTATTTAATGGGTACAAATAATTATACGTGCCCGTGGATTTTATTTCTTAAATTTATCCGATTGTCTGTAAACAATGAATTAATTTGCCAGTGTATTCGTGAATTAAAAATATAAAGAAATAAATCCTGAATAATTATATATTAGTTGTTTTATAAATCACGCAGTTCTAGAGCATAATTTTTAGATTTTTGGACATTGGACATGTATACATGTATATTGAATGTATTGTTAAGAGCCGCGACTATTGATTACATTTTTTGTCTAGACGGAGTTTGAAATCAAGGATTTTACAAGGTGTCGGGTATATTGTTTTTATTTGATAAACACAATGCCTCAAAAGAGGACTAAAGAATTATAAAACCTATCCCCCGGCTTCTCTACCATACTAAATTTTAATGAGAAATCAAAGTTTAATTCTATAGTGAAACGATATATTTACCATTCTTAACAAAGTGCTTTTAATGAATTACATCTATCTGGTCCCGCTTTTTTTTTTCTTAGAACGGGCAATTGTTTCTATAATATTTTTTTTCTCCTAATGATATACTTCTGAAAAAAGTGCCCGTTATATTTAGCCATATACAGAAGTAAGATCTCGGTAATCTAACCACCCCCCCCCCCCTTTCATGCACAATGTTCTTGTTTGATGCAGTGTACATATTACCTTTGCAAATTATAAACAGAACCTAATTTAATCAAATGAGAGTATTTATTTACTAAATCAAAAAAAAAAAAAAAAAAAAAAAAAAAAAAAATCAATCAATCAATAATTAAATAAAAGAAAAAAAATCAATCCGTTTACAAAAATCATACGCAATTTAATCAATTATTTTTTTTTCATGGGTTTATTTGTTAGTAATTAAACGACTGTTTAATATCAAACTATAATTGTAAACACATTAAATGCTGTAAAAGATTATGAATTACGAATATATATTTTTTTTTCAGTGCGTAATTTTGAGTCTAGTGGAAAAGGTTTGTACATGGACGATGATAGGCATTTCACCGGGCCGGTGACACTCAATGACAACTATCAATTAATTACAACTTAATATTGAGTATTTTATCTGTTAATACAGTACTTGTGTAGCGAGTTCTAATCTTAACTTAATCTAAATAATTGTAATTCTTAACTAATCTTTGATTAATCCGTAATAATTAAAATAAAATCCGAGAGATTCCGAATAGAAAATCCAGATCGAGGCCAAAGCGTGCGAGAATCGTGTACAAAGCGTGTGAGAAACGTGTACAAAGCGTTTCGTGCAGGCTTTCGTGTAAACCGTGCAGCCTTTCGTGCAAAGCGTTTCGTGGAAACCGTGTAGCGTTTCGTGTAAATCGTGCAGCGTTTCGTGCAAACCGTGTAGCGAGCGTGTACCGTTAGTGCAGCGTGCGTGTGGGGTAGTAGCACGTTTCAGGGTCTGTAGAACCAAAGTGCACAGTTGACAATATATTATATTTATGACACAAAATCATGTAGTCTTACTTGGACAATTGATAGTAAAATTATAAAACTACTCACAGCAACAATAAAGCATTTGCTCTTTCGTGCAATAACTTTTTATATTTCACCAGAATTTCCTCTGTAATATCTAATATATGACCCAATGGAGTTGGATGCACTGATTTTGTCATGGGACTCATTGTTGTCATTAAGGGGGGTCCTTTGGACCCATGATAACCATTTTCAAAATGAATCACTGGTTCATGGGTCTGGGACTAAAAGTTTATGAGGGCATACTATCTTAATATCACCCACCCATTATCGTCTGATCAGCATGATCAGTACTATTAAGCAGGAAAACAAATATTTGAAGAGACATACTGTAAAAATAATTTTGTAACATCTCGGAAAACATGTAATTTTGGAAGTAGATTGACAAATAAGTATATAATTTTTTTTGGTGGATAACAGTTGATTAGGGTAGGTGGTCACTGGTGTGATTTTGACCCATTATCTGATTATTTTTCATACTTAAGTTTTGTTCGAGTATATGTCAGTGTTTGTTATGCTACAACGTATTCTGGGTAATTTTCTCTATGGAATACCTTTTTACAAGATTTCTTCTTTTTTTTAGAATTATTTACTGAATTTGCGAAATACATGTGTTCGACTTACAAGATACATGTGTTGGGTTATTGCTAGTTAGAACAATCTAACTGTGTCTCGGAACAAGCCCTCGATCACCACAGTTTATATGTCCCATATACTAGCAATGTAGCATATTGGAAAGGATCCGCTCAGAAATGATTTTGAAGAATAAAAAAAAATTGCACTGAAAATAACTATCAAATTAATCATAACAAACCTTTTTGAGATTTTATATGCCTTTTAACCTAAAAAGTAATCCATATAAATAAGAAAATTCAACTCATTTTCTCAACCTTTTTTCCTCACTTCAAATTTACACGCCATGTTGAATTCGGAACTCTCTGGATTGTTCATAGAAAATGCAGTCAGTTCGAGTTATCGAACTTGCTTATTTTGCTACATTGCCAATACACGGAACGAATTCTATCGTTAAACCAGGTCCGTAGGACAATATCATTTTAATGATTAGAATGTTCTATCTAGGTTATTGAGATCACAGCAACAATGTATAAACAAAATTAAAATTGAAAGTATAATTCGCATCATCTCTTTTAAAAAAAGAAAATTCATATTATTTTGTAAAACCAAAAAATATTGGTTTAAATATACTGACAATAAAAAAAGAGACAATAATTCTCAAGTTATGAATAACTTTAAAACATTGAGTGCACCTACAAGCACAGATCCCATGATTTGTAATATAATGCACACACAGGCATGTAAACTGAAGTAAATCAAACATATAGATTTTCACTGATTAGCTAATATACATGTAGAACTAGTTTGAAACTAAATACTCGTACAAATACAAAAGAAAAAAATAATTATTTTCCAAACAAATAAAATGAAGAAATTAAAAGTTTTTGATTTTATTTTGATTTAAAAATTATCAAAGAATATTTAAGTCGAACTTCATGAAAAAGAAAAGCTGAAACCAAAATATTTGTGTCAATTTAAATCTCATGCTTGATAAATTTTGGAAATACTGACAGATACACCCTTGTATAACACATATACATGACTAAAATTGTAAATTTTAAGAGACTTTGGATATGCATGGTGTCAAACTTTGTCTCATTTCAATATAAAATGAAAAAAATTACAACCAATTAAAAATATTGTGATCTGTATTGTAGCATAAATATTGTTATACCTATTACCTAATATAGTATATTTATTTAGATATAGAATAGTAGACGAAAGTGTATTATCCCAGCCCTTTATACTTGCAGTGCAGTATAAAACAGTTCAATTATATAATAATGAAGTCAAGAGAATATGGACATGATTATAAATATGTAAATTAATAGATTTTGTTTTCATTTTTGCAGGTGTGTCTGATGGAATTTGTCATTTCATTAATAAATCATGCTGATAAAGATGCAAACTTAGCAATTGTGCCTAAAAAGTGACAGCTTTGACAAGGAAATCTATCCATATATAACAGTTACTGGTACTGTCTGAATGCAGTGAAAGGATCCAGATGAACAGATGAAGAGAATAATTACAATGTACATCAATTACTTGGATGAAGAGAATCTGCAACATGGGGTAAGGTATATTTGCTGCTTTATTAGTTATAAACTGTAAATAAATTGTTAGCAGAAAATAGACACAAAAGCTTTAATTAAAGGAAATCAGGGGTAAATACTAACTTTTAAAGCATGCAGATACTCAGTGATAGTATCATAAAACCAAAAGAACTTCAGTGACTTTGAATTCCTGATAGCCCTAGCTGTTAATGAACTAGCTGCCCATTACAGCCTTTGGCTGCTTATGGAGTCATGACTTGATTGTTGGGGGAGGGAGGGGGGTAGGAAATGAATTCCCAGTGGAGATGGGTATGAAGGTCAAAAATAGGGCCACAAAGAACCAGGTTATGGTGAGGCAGACTTGCCTCCTTACATTTTATTGTAATTATTTAACCCTTCACTCTTTATGAGTGAAATAATTCTCGAATGGGACATAAAACAACACTCAATCAATCGGTCACACTTCACTCACTGTTCACAGCACTTGTTGCTCTGTACTGGGCACTACTGGCTCACTTAAGCAGTAGGAGTGAAACGGTTCACCGCGGTATCGATTCACCGCGGTATTTTTTCTCGGTTCGATACACGGTACAAAATCTCTATTTTCGCTTCGGTTCGTTTTTCGGTCGGGATCATCATTCAGTCGGGTTTGGCATAAGGTATAAGCATGCTTCTCAGTATAATTAGTTAAAAAACGTAAATTTTTGTGGACTTACAGTTTGTAAAATAATTTTTAACAGTCAAATCAATTAAATTGATTTCTTCTATCCATTTTGCACATAAATTATTTGACCAGATCAAGTAAAAGGAAGCATAAAACATGTAAAACAACAGTTGAATTTGTTTCCTTCTATCAAAATGTATCGTATCGAAAATAACCGAACCGAGACCAAATTTTACGATACGTATCGAACCGTGAAGAAGGCATATCGTTTCACCCCTATTAAGCAGGTTAAGTTCAGTTTGGTGTTTACTAGTCATTCCAATGATAAATAAGTCACAGGGATCGACATTGACGGTTGTCCGATTGCCTGGGACAAGTAAATTCTCAGTTCGGGCAAGTGAATCTTGCGATGTACTTGTCTGATTGGGCAAGTGATTTTTTTTTCATAGAAATGTACAAATTAATTTAGTTTACATTAATTTATATAAAAAAAGAAATAAATTGAAGACTTGATTTCCGCCAGGTACCTGACTGACAATGTTTTTGCATTCGGAATTCCTTGTCAGCATTTTTGGATTATACCTTTCATTTGAAAATCGGGTTCGTTATTCCGTTTTTCCCTGGTAAATATGCTGTTCGTCTATTCACTGTCTAACATCTTTCTTAACTTCTTATCTGGACATTAGATTATTTATTTACTCAAAGAATATAAGTACAGTGTAACACGATGTATCCTGATCAAGGTGTGTTACGTAGCAACTATCTTCCTTCAGCGTTGTTTCACAGTTATCTCAGAAAATCACAATTCACAAAAGAATCCTACCAAAAAAAATTCTAAAAATATGAATTTTATTTATTAAACGGAGGGTTATTGCTACATGTATATGGCAGTGTGTGTTAACAGGTTGAATTTACAAGGACAGTGGTATACATTTATGTACAAAGGCAGCATTTAAATTTTTTCAGGTACCTCACCTTGCCAAATTGAAGGTAGTGTATTTGGTCGCATTTTTTCTTGTCATAACATTTACAGTAATAAAAAAATTCTTCTGAAGTTCTTTCCTTATTTTGGGCAACCAAGTTTTGAGTTCGGACAAGTCAAAGTTTGAGATCACTTGCCTGAAGGGCAAGAAAATCTGAAAGTTAATGTCTATCCCTGTAAGAACATTTTTTGTGAGTCGACTGCACAGCAGTGCAACACCTAGGGATCAATTTGCCTGGCATCTGTCTGTCTGTCCATCTGTCACACCTTATATCTCGAGAATTGTAAGAGGTTTAATTGTTTTTGATATTTGGTTAATATTTTGCTTGGCACTGTGATTTTTTTTAAATACCATGGTTGCCAATCTTGTGACCCTTGAACTTACCTTTGACCTTCTTATAAAAAAGTTAGTGCCAATATTCAGCATATTTTTGATAATTTAAAAGAGTTAAGTCTATGCTATTTAGCATGTGCACAATTTGTCATAAATTATAATGAAAAATACCAGCATTACAGTTCACTTGACCTTGACCTTTGTTTTACTTTTCAAAAAATACTTTGAATGGTTAATTTAACTAAAATGTTTTGATTTTCTAGAAGTAGTGTTTTGATAATTAGCATTGATGAGCTCATGACACTCTACTTTGAAACTTTTTGATATCCAGTTATCACACAAACTAAAACTTAAATCCTATCAAAACAAATCGGGACCAGTATACCACAATGGGTGGTAATGTAGACTGATGACAATTGCACTATAGCAGCCTGAAATCTCTTTAGAAAGAACTGTTGAAAAGATTGTTGACCATTATATGGTGACGTCTCTATTTTAGTGAAAAATTCTTAAACAGGATGTAAAACGACATACAATTAAACAATCAATCCAACTACTGAGTGAGCTTTCTAGCTTGTGAACTACCAATTATGTCCAATTGGAAGTAATATTTGAATGTTTTAAAATGTGATTGTACATTGCAGGAAAGAATGTTCCTGTAGAAAAGTCAAAGAATGTATACATGTGAGATTCTGAAGTAGCCGTACATGATGAGTAGGAATTTGAAGTGAATTATGGGAAAAGGTATGTAATCCATTAGTTTGCTTTAAAGTTGGTGATTTTTAATCTGAACACACTGTGTAAAAGGAATTTTTCCGCCATATTCCTTTATTCACGCTATATTGTAGGGTCACTATATAAGCCACTCACTTAGTCACTGTTCAGTGTAATCTGTTGTCACCTGTCTGTATAGACAGACTGACGTATGCAACAAAGCTCTCGGTAGCGACAAAAAATTACTGTGTACTTCTTTCACGGCAGAAGAGAAAGATGCCAATGAAACTTACAACAGTTGCACAGGTCAGTGCAGTATACAAACATACACAAGTACATGCAACTGCAATAAAATAAATAAACAAAGGCAATGCAAGATAACCAGCATGAGCATGTGTCACCATTCCACTCCGATACCTGTGACAATAAAGCAGTCAGGTGTAACAAATGCGAACAGTATACCCCGGTGCTGATATAGTAGATGATATATAATCGAATATGGTGTATGCCTATATATGAGATGTGTTCAGCTTTAATTGTCATGATTGTTTTTCTTTGACAATATGTACCATAGGTCATAGTCATTTATGGTATATACAGTGGCGCCATGTTTATCCGAACACTTCACCTTCCAGATGCTATTTTTCGGGAATAGATTTTTCCATGTCATTCTGTCTCATTAATCCAGAAAAATGTGTTCCGCATCCAGACGGTCGATTTCTACTACAAAATGTAATAGTTCATTGAAAAATGACTCGTTTATCCGGACGGTAATTTTTCAAGAAATGACTTTTTAGCTCACCTGAGCTGAAAGCTCAAGTGAGCTTTTCTGATCACATTTTGTCCGGCGTCCGTCTGTCTGTCCGTCTGTCTGTCCGTCTGTCTGTAAACTTTTCACATTTTCGACTTCTTCTCAAGAACCACTGGGCCAATTTCAACCAAACTTGCCACAAAGTATCCTTGGGTAAAGGGGATTCAAGTTTGTTCAAATGAAGGGTCATGCCCTCTTCCAAGGGGAGATAATTAGGAATTAGTGAAAAAATAATGGCATCATTTAAAAATCTTCTTCTCAAGAACCATAGGGCCAGGAAAGATGAAACTCATGTGGAAGCATCCTTAGGTAGTGTAGATTCAAGTTTGTTCAAATCATGAGCCCCGGGGGTAGAGCGGGGCCACAATGGAGGATCAAAGTTTTACATAGAAATGTATAGGAAAAATCTTTAAAAATCTTCTTCTCAAGAACAGCAAAGCCATGATGAGTCATATTTATATGGAAGCATCCTCCAGTAGTGTAGATTCAAGTTTGTTCAAACCATGACCCCCGGGGGTAGGGCGGGGCCACAATGGAGGATCAAAGTTTTACATAGAAATATATAGGAAAAATCTTTAAAAATCTTCTTCTCAAGAACAGCAAAGCCATGATGAGTCATATTTATATGGAAGCATCCTCAGGTAGTGCAGATTCAAGTTTGTTCAAATCATGACCCCCGGGGGTAGGGCGGGGCCACAATGGAAGATCAAAGTTTTACATAGAAATATATAGGAAAAATCTTTAAAAATCTTCTTCTCAAGAACAGCAAAGTCTTGATGAGTCATATTTATATGGAAGCATCCTCAGGTAGTGCAGATTCAAGTTTGTTCAAACCATGACCCCCGGGGGTAGGGCGGGGCCACAATGGAGGATCAAAGTTTTACATAGAAATATATAGGAAAAATCTTTAAAAATCTTCTTCTCAAGAACAGCAAAGCCATGATGAGTCATATTTATATGGAAGCATCCTCAAGTAGTGTAGATTCAAGTTTGTTCAAACCATGACCCCCGGGGGTAGGGCGGGGCCACAAGTGAGGATCAAAGTTTTACATTGAAATATAAAGGAAAATAACTTCTTCTGAAGAACTGCAAACCATGATTAGTCATTTTGATATGGAAGCATCCTCAGGTAGTGTAGATTCAATTTTGTTCAAATGGTGACCCCCAGGGGTAGGGTGGGGCCCAATCGGGGATGGAAAGTTTACATAAGAACATATAGAAAAAATATTTCTTCTCAAGAACAGAAAAGTTATGTTTAATCATATTGATATGGAAGCATCTTCAGGTAGTGTAGATTCAAGTTTGTTCAAATGATGACCCCTGGGATAGGGAGGAGCCACAATGGGGGATCAAATTTTAACAAAGGAATATATGGGAAATTTTTTTTTAAAATCTTCTCAAGTACTACAAAGCCATTTGTTATATTGACATGGAAGCATCATCAGGTAGTTTAAAATTCAAGCCAATGTGCTCAGGTGAGCGATGTGGCCCATGGGCCTCTTGTTCACACTTATCTTCAGGGGTTGAAATTTTCCTGGAAATCCCACTAGCCCAGGGGCTACTGATCAGGAAAAAATTACTAGCCCAAACTAACTAGCCCAACAATTTTTTTATGCAAAATGAAAACAAAAAGTTAAAGTTTTGAATGTTTTGGTGACAGAAACAAATTAAACTAGTTCTCAGTCAAAAGAAACCAGTCTTCATAGTAAAATGAAAGTAAACTGACGAGAATTTTTTTTTTCTGTTCTGCTAGTCCGACAGACTATCATTACATTTAAATAAGCTAGCCCCAGTCTTAAAATAACTAGCCCCGGGGCGTCGGGCTACCGTATATTTCAACCCCTGATCTTGCAGTAGTGTTAATTGTAGTGAAAACATTTGCCATGCATTCAGTTTGAAGGCGATACCTGTGACCTACAAACAATAGCATCTAAAATTAGCATGTATTTACCCCAATTAAATTACACGTCTAATATGAAGCTCGAAGAATTTAGCTTACACCAGTACACTGTGCATTAATTAAATAAGAAACAGTTCAAAATTAATCAATATTATTTTTAACAAACTTAAGCCAAAGAGGCGTCCGGATCAACAAGGCGCCACTGTATATATTATATAATACATGCATATAAATGTACTTGCTATTAACAGTGAGTACAATAAAAATTTTCCCATTAAGTATATTAATTTTTTTCTATGTGGTTTACTTTATGCCCAATTATCAGCAGTTTCCTTAATGGCCATATTTAAGTATAAGAACTAGGTTGCTATAGCAGACAAAAGGTAAATATAAAAATCTTAAGTGCAAGGTACTTTATCACTCATTGAATGTTAATTAGGGCCTGCATGAAATGTTAAAGCTATATAGGATTCACATTGTCCATCTTTATGTCTTTCAGCCAGCAATTAACACTTCAGATGTGACACAATAAACAAGTTTTAATTTATGCAGTGTAATACTATACAGGGTATTAATGCATACAGTAAATGAGATCATTAGAATGGTGTATTTATATACTATATACTTGATATCAACTATTTTTCTCAGTGGTCTACTTTATGCCCGATTATAAGTGGTCTCCTCAATGGCCATATTTAAGTATAACATATGTATAAGTACAGGTTGCTATGGCAGACAAAGGTAAATATAAAAATCTAAGTGCAAGGTACTTTATCACTGATGGAATGTTAATTAGGGCCTGCATGAAATGATAAAGCTCTATAGGATTCACATATTGTCCATCTTTATGTCTTTCAGTCCAGCAACACTTCAGTTGTGACACAATAAATAAGTTTTAATTTGATATGCAGCATAATATAATACAGGGTATTGATGCATATAGTGAATAAGATCATTAGAATGGTATATTTATATACAGTATATACTTGATATCAAGGGTTAATTCAATTTACTCAATTTTTCTCACTGGTCTACTTTATGCCTAATTATAAGTGGTCTCCTCAATGGCCATATTTAAGTACATGTATAAGTACAGGTTACCATTGAAGACAAAAGGCATATACAAAACTCTAAAGACCATGATACTTTGATACTGATTGAATGATGATCTGGACCCTTGGAAAGCACTTACTCTTAGTCTTATTTAAATGACAATGTGTGGTTTTGATATAAGTTAACTGAATTACCTAGGTAACCATGGTAACATATTTCTATCTGTTTTTGTATGTTTTTGCATGAGCAAGGTCTTGGGTCATGCATAAACTTTTCACATTTTTCAACTTCTTCTCAAGAACTACTGGACCAGTTTAAATCAAACTTGTCACAAAGTATCTTTAAAATAAGGATGGCAATGATTAACTGGTTTATTAACTATTGAGAAAGATCATAACCAGTTGAAATTTTCATAACCAGTTTTGTAACCAGTTACAATTTACATGCTAACCACTTAGTAGATAGTAGGGATGGCAATCGAATACAGAATTGCAAATCGGTTAACCGCAAAACGTTCCGACCGATTAACCGGTTAATCGTATCAAACTATACAATGTCATTTTCTTGACTTTTTTCAAGTAGCTCTATTCCTATGCACAAGAAGTCTTAAAAAAAGATGTTAGAGGTCAAAATCATTCTGTTTGTCTTTAGTCTTGATCATTAAACTACGCGCATATTTTTTTCAATAGACAAGAAAAAATTCAGAAAACCATGAACCGTGCCTGAGATATTGTGGATAATTTTCCAGAGCGGATGTCACACAAGTTCATTCTTCATTATCACCATAATCAAAACTAAGTCTAAAATGTATCACTTAATTTACAATGTTTGTATTATAATTTAATGTGATAGATAACTGCAAAAGATACACACACACCAATTCACGGTGCTCAACGGTGATTATTATCATTAAAGAATTAGAGGACAGTCGGGGTAACGACATGATGTTTTAACAGTAATTAACATATCTTAGACTGACCAATTACCCCGCAATTGTAATCTGGAGCGCCATAATGACCTCCCAATCAGCCTAAATAAATAAATGAAAACGCTAAATTAAACGTTTAGGTAGGAATTTCTATTTTTAAAATGAATTTTAGTACATTGCCTTCAGTTTTACATATTATAATATTTTTTCGACTAATCGATTGCAGATTTTCTAACTGATTGCCATCGTTCCAACCGAGTAATCGGTTAACCAGTTAGAAATTGCCATCCCTAGTAGATAGTTTTTGTCAATGAGTATTTGTATTTACTTTTTTAATAATATTTTCATTTTTTGAAATAAAACTTGTAACATGTTTCAAACTGAAATGTGACAATCAAGCAGTTACCATATCTTGCCGAATGTAATATGCATTGGTTTAAATATGCACCCCCTTTTTCAGCCTATAACTTGGGGAAAATTGCAGCTCGGTTGTAAAGATTATTTGCTACAAAATCTTATTTCCTACAGAGCACAAGTTATTTAAACATTAAGATTTTAACAGACTTGAAATTTCTTTGACAATAACTTAAAGATAAGTCACTTGACATATGATAAGCATTTGATATGTTGTAATCAACACACACCCAAAGCTTAAAAAAATGAAGAACGAAGGTTATAAATCGACTTCTCAAATATGAAACAGGGAGGGCTCTCAATTGTCTATAATTGGGGCCATTCAGGGGCCCCACTCCCAATTCAAAAAAGGTACCTTTTTTCCCAATAATGTGTTAATTTTCCCAATAGTCATTTCGCCCAAAAACTAAAGAATAATAGCTGGATATATACCGGTAATAACTTAACTTGCTATTCATATTCCTCTGTTTTATAAAACAAATTTAGTTGATAGCGAAGACCGGAAACCCAATATATATGATTTTAAAGTACATATAATGGTTATTCCTGACCAAAATTTCCTAAAAGGTCTTTATTTTCCCAATCTTTACAGCCCGGCCCCATTCCCAAAAAGCAGTGTTAGAGCCCTGTGAAAATGAAAACAATTATATGTACAGCAAATAAGAAGTGCCCTATCTTGTAAAAAAATGTGATTGGAATAGATAGACCATTTCTTTATCCAGGTGAATATCATTACCGCTACATTTTCAAAATGGTAATTATTTACCGCTACATACTCATTACCGCTGCAAAAAATGTACACATTACCACTACATTTAAAAGTTTACATTACGAATACATTGCCTCTTTCATTAGCCAATGGATTATGCATGTACAGATTGATACAAAGTACATGTACAACATATCCAAGCATAAGACCTTTTTCCTTTGCTCACCATGGGAGACAAAAGTACGGCTTGACAGGGTGGCTTTTTCCCACTTTTTTATTAGTCCCCTACCGGTGAAACCAAAGGGAATTATAGGTTTCCTCTGAGTCTGTCCATCTGTCTGTCTGTCCCTCTTTCAGTCTGTCCCATTTGTTTTCTGCACTTTTTTCTAAACGCTTGCAGATATTGAGCTGAGTTTTGGTATGTAAGTGTATCTTGATGAGTTACAGTTCAAGTTTGCATTTTGTTATGCTTCTGAATCAATGATTTTTAATGGAATTGTGGCAATTCAATTTTTAGTGGGAACCAGATTACACTTGCCGGTAGGGGACTAGTATTCCTAATGCAATACTCTTAGAATGCTTGTTTAATCTTAATTATAGTAGGTATTTAAGTATGCAAGTACAATACTGTACATATAAATGCTTGTTCAAAATAAAGTTTTTCTCGTAATTTCGGCCCAATGCAACAGAAACTAAAAATTCAAGAACCTATTGGTAATTAATCTGATGTTTTTTTTAAATAGATTGATCGAAAGTACATGCAATATAATTCGTACTATATAAAGGTACAGTGTTTAATTGATTTGTTACAAAAAAGAGCAATGACCATATCACCAATGCTTATGTAGTGGTAAATATTTTTAATATATAATAAGTTCCACATTTTTTTTTCACAGTGAAATGGTAAAAAAGAAACTGCTAGTGCTACTGTGCAGACTACCATCAATCAACATGATCAACAAAATCAAGTAATCCTTTTGAGTAAGTGACCTGTAGTATTATCTGTTTTCACCTATGCCAATATGAAAAGGATGAAAGTTATTATACTCAATACACAAGTTTGGAGATTATAGCTCTCCAACAAGAGAAACACAAAAAGTAGCCATATCAGCATGAAAGTGGCAGAGATTGTTGATAAAGTATACACAATCATGCATAATTAAATGTCAGAATGATGGATTAATTAGGGCCTTTTAAAATGTTTTTAATATTAAAGAAAAATTATTATACATGCATATTATGTCAAGCAATGATGATTTTGGTGATCATATTGAGCTATACTTTAGTAATACAGGTTTTTGGATGCTTGAGTCTCTGATTGACAATATATATGTAGTTTTTGGAGACCTAATCTGTCAGAATTCCCATGGGTACCAATTGCAACCTGTTATTAGGCTAGCAGACCTCTTTTTATATTCATATGAAGCAGAATTTATTCAAAATCTTACACATGAGAAGACATGGAAGAAGAAAACACTTGCTGTGGTCTTGAACTCGACATTGAGATATATCGATGATGAATTATCAATTAACAATAGTTATTTCCATTCATATATCAACTCTATATATACCCCAGTGAGCTTGAAATAAAAGATACCACAGAGTCTGACACATCTGTTTCATGTTTGGATATTATTTATTTCCATCCCTAATTAAAATTTTATAAATTGATTATGTACATGTAATATTAAATGCATGGAAAGTAATGTTCTAAGTCTTGGAAAGTAATGTTCTAAGTGTTTCCTTACTGCTTACTGCTCTTAAGGATTTTCATGGTATATCAGATTCTCGTTTATTATCCTTTTCTAAGTGTTACTTTTCTCTAAGCAGTAAACAGTTTTGTCCTGACGTAATAATCTCTCTCGGGTGTTTTCATAATAGGTAATATATTCTCTATGCACTTCCGTTGCATTTACCTAAGGATTTTTTCAACGCACTGACTGCAATGCTGTTTAAGGATTAATTGTGGGATTCTTACGAGAAGCAGAGCCAATCCGATAGTATGAACTAAGACAGAAATATAGAGAGACAGTGTGAACTGACATTTTAGGTTAAAATAAAATAAAAACATGTTTTTAAACCCAGAAAGACCAGTGGGGGTACAACGTAAACAAACCGGAGTGGCATTGTGTGGAACGATTATTTTGGGGTTTTCACGATTTTTTCCTATTATACACATGATGAATAAGTGCAATAAATATAATTTGTGAAAAAAATGTCCAACAAGTCCCGGGGTTGAATATCGGGGGGGGGGGGGGGGTCCTGTCCACAAGTACCTGTGGATTTGTTTACGTACACACAGACACCTGCTTGGAATGCATTTTCAGCACAATATCGTAAAATGCTTAGGGTTATAGGGGAAAAAAAATAAGGGACTTAATTTTTAATTTATACCAATCAAATAACAATTAAAATACAGACTATACTTAAATACTTATAAATAAAGCTTATATGTAAACTGAATTTTCCAAGAAAATTAAAAGTTGTATCCTACTTTTGTTTTTGAAATAATACGAATATTTTAACTTTCTAAACTTTTTCTTTGGGATAGTTGTGCTGTGAAAATAAGAGATACATCCGCAGTTTTGGGGTAGCGTTTTATCCATAGGAGCTGTATTTTTCTCGAGATTTTCCCCCCGAAGGATCACTTCTAGGTAAATATATGCGTTGACCTATAGGGCCGATATTGGTTTCATTCTTTAGAAAAAGCTTATCGATATCCGTTCCGGTCGCTGACTTTAGGCCACATGCGTGTAGTTTCTTGTTTCTCATGTATCATTTTAGTTCTAGTCAACTGTGTGTTCATATGACCCTACATTGGTATTTACATATACATCCTTTGTATGTTCTAGGTAAATATATGTGTTGACCTATAGGGCCGATATTGGTTTCATTCTTTAGAAAACGCTTATCGATATCCGTTCCGGTCGCTGACTTTAGGCCACATGCGTGTAGTTTCTTGTTTCTCATGTATCATTTTAGTTCTAGTCAACTGTGTGTTCATATGACCCTACATTGGTATTTACATATACATCCTTTGTATGAGGGTCCTTACTTGATGCCTGGGTAATGGCAACAGGAGGTAAAACCTTAACTGACCTTACCACGTTCTTTTCTAATCTGTAAACCTTCCTCCTGCATTTTTGACATAACATGTCGCCAATGCACTCAATTTTCCCGAGGAATGAACTGCATCTACTCTGCATAGCGCAGTATCTCTCCCACTGGCACAACACTACTACTAACTAGTGATGTTCTTGAAAGACAAACACAGCAATTTTTGCTCGTCATGATTTTTTTTTTTCGTGACACCTGCAGTATCGAGTAACACAAAGTGAATCATTCTTGTCCTCGAACAAAGTTTGCTTACACTGAGGTATACAGTTCTGGTTGATTGCGTTTAGTTAAAGAGAATTTATAAACTGCATTTCCATTAATGTCTTTCATATCAACAGCAAACACACATTTAAAGAAGAAAGTGGAAGTAAAATGCAAAAGCCTGTATAAAAAATTAAAATTCATGTTTACACAGGTGTAAAATTTGAAAAAAAAAATAAAAGTGTGCCAACAGGTGGATTCGAACCAGGACATAAAAAAAGGTCCATTCTAAGAATCTGCGGTCTATTTCTCTGCGCTATAATGACTATGAAAATGCACTCCATAAATGTAATCCAGTATGATAGAACTAGGTTTTTCGCATTTTTTGAAGGTTTTTCACGAATTTCGACCCTAAGGCAGGGGTGCCCCTAAAAAAATCTTGATTTAAATCATTCTTTAGATCAAAATCTATCAAAATTTCATTATTTAATTTAGGGGCAGGCCTGCCCTGAAGGACTTCTATGCCAAAATTCACGTAAAAATTAGTGCTTTAACGGACAAAATACTGTTTTGACCAACTTTGGAGGTTAATTTCAAAGTTGCAAATAAAAAAAATTACGTTTAAAATGCAAATTTGAAAAATTTAGACAAATATACAATAGAAAACAACTAAAGAACATTGATTTTTAAATGTGACTTTTTCCGGAAAATAGTTCTTTCCTATAGGTCAAATCTTTTGTTATAAGGAATACATCCTTTGGGGGTGTGTCTATTACAAGACTACGGCCTTTACACGTGACAATATGGTACTTCGTCAATATATCTAAATGTTAAAGGCGACAGCATGTATTTTCTTCTTCTCATGTATAAGATTTTAAATAAATTCTGCTTTGTATGAATACAAAAATAGGTTTGCTAATAATGGAGCACGATTGGTACCTATGGAAATTCCAAGAGATTTTTGGAAGACCTTGTCTCTAAAAACCACATAGATATTGTCAATCAGAAACTCAAGAATCTTTTTAATATCAACTTCAGAGTACTTGTGTGTACAATCAGTGTTTTTTACAAATAATTTTGCAATGACAAGATAAGTTAATTTTTGAGTTCCACTTTTAATGAAAAAGCAGCTGTCAATAAACAAATCTCTCATCCATACAAAAAACAAAAAAGCATACCAAGGGTGATAATCTCAAAATTTAAGCATTGATCTGTTCGAAATAATTTTTTTTTATTGACATACGTTTAAGGATAAACAACAATACTTGATATCGCGATTACTGAAATTAGCGGAACTCTTTCACAGAGGTAGGACACATCTGTTGGATGGGGGCAGTGTACTATTGAATGCAATGCATGATCGATCATTGTGGAATTTATAAGGACTGATAAGAAAGAAATCCTAGAGAAATATCTTGCTAAACATGCGCTGAACCAGCCTAATAAATTTTTGAGAGGAGCTAGTCCTATATGTTACATTTTTTACGATACTTTTTACTAAGCGGACTTTTCTTATTAAATTCTAAATGAAAATCGTTACTTTTGAAAGTTGATAAAATACTCTAAACTTTCCTTATTTGACAATCTACTATTTGGAGTTCAACTCTTGGCAATACATTGTAGTTTGGGCATAATGATTGTTTGAATCATTCCATTGTCACCACTGTAATGTTATGCCCCAGAAATCTTGTGAGATTTAGAGCTTCCTCGACTCCCATGCTAAAGAGCGGTTGTAAGTTAGATAACTGCGAGATACTCGCAATACTGGTACTTTTAATTCAATTCACATGTGCTCACCTTTGAAATGCATTCACAATTCTTTATAAAGTTGGTGACATTATGTATGAAAATATCATAAAGTCTAGTTACATGTTTAAACTATGCTTGTGGTATGCATTTTTTTTCTTGAACAGTAAAGGAAGGGATGAGAGAGTTCATTGAGTGCCATAAACTTTCATTTATATGTTATTTTTTAGAGATGGAGTACTACACAAGCACAATGTTTTAAAGAAAGAAAAGTCAATGGAATGAAAGCCAAAGAAAAGGTGAAATGAATTGTCACTCATTATATTTTAAATTTAATGTGGACATGGTCATTATTTTAGTTATGTCATAACCTTCTTATCAATTTTAAGCGGTGCAGACAGATGCATTTCTTATTGCTTTGAATAGAATAAATTATCAAAAAAGTTTGTATATGTTTTTTGATATTGAATTAAAATTAAAAAAAACAAACAAATTATCAATTACTGCAGTTTTGAATTTCAGTACACTAGAAATTTTTCTGCCCTGCCATGAATATGGCTGGGGCATATAGAGTTTGTCATGTCCGTCTTCCGTCCTTCCAACCTTCTGTCAGTCCTTCAATTCCGCTTTGCTTTTAGCTCAGTTCAAAACTAAGTTTCAAAGAAATTATTCAAGGTATTTTTATCAATCTTCATATGCTGATACATATTGATGAGAGGTATTCAATTTCATCAACATTTTTTTTACCTTGACCTTTCCTTTAACTTTGACCTCACTTTTCTTAAATTAGTGTTTAGCTCAGTTTTAAAGAAACCATTCAAGATAGTGTAATCAAACTTCATATGCTGATACATATTGAATCAACATTTTTTTACCTTGACCTTTCCTTTGACCTTGACCGTACTTATCTTAAATAAGTGTTTAGCTCAGTTTTAAAGAAACCATTCAGGATAGCGTAATGAAACTTCATTTGCTGATACATACTGATGAGAGCTATTCAACTGCATCAACATTTTTTGATCTTGATCTTTCCTTTAACCTTCACCTCACTTTTCCTAAATTAGTGTCAAACTTCATATGCTGATACAGACTGATGTAAGGTACTCGACTGTATCAACATTTTTGACCTTGACATTTCATTTGACCTTGACTTCATTTTTCTTGAAATAGTGATTAGCTCAGTGTTAAATAAACAGTTTCCATTCAAAATATTTTTATCAAACTTATTTTGCTTATGCGTATTAGTGAGAACTATTCAACTGCATCAAAAATGTATGACCTTGAACTTTCCTGTGACCTGGACCTCACTTTTCTTAAATTTGCATTTTGCTTAGTTTTAAAGAAACCATTAAAGATAATTTTATGTGAGCTTATGCACTGAACAGAATTTGGTGAGAATTTATCATCTGTATCCAACTTTTTCGATTTCAATGTTAAAAAAACTATTTTAAGATATTTTCATCAAATTTCATACACTAAAAATATTTTTGTGTCGCATAACTAATATGCCCACATGGTGCAGTGGTTAAAGCTCTAGAGTTGCGGAGTAAGGAGTTGATCCTTATGTCGCTGGTTCGAATCCCACTGTGGGACGTGGAGACCGTATAAACCGAGGTCCCATGTCACAGTAGGTGCTGGCACGAAAAAGATCCCTCACTGCTTAATGGCCCTTAGTGCCGAGTATAGGTCAAAATTTGCAGCTCTCCACTGGCAAGTGGTGGCGTCTCCATATGAGTGAAAAATTCTCGAGAGGGATGTTAAACAATAAACAAGCAAATAAAAAATTAATATACCCTCAGCGGGGCATTCATGTCCTATGGACATATTTCTAGTTTTGCCCTCTTGTACGTTTGTACATGGATATACTTTTTATTTTTGCTCTGTAAACAACAAAAACATTATATAATATGATCAAAATTATATACTAGGAATGTATTGTGAAAGATGCATTTCAGCTGACAAATGTAGCATCTTTAAGCCAGCTTTTTAAATTTTTTTCTGAATGACTTTCAGGTACTTCTTTTATATTTGCAACTCATTTATAGGGATGTATTAGTATAGTAGCCTGTCTGCCAACACCTTGTAGATGAGATTCTAGCACAAATTGTGTGAAATGGTTCTCTTAATTGACATGAGAAGGTCACCATTTTTTATCAAGATAAAAACTACTTGTATGTCTTGTAATAACATTATTTAATATATCCCTTTCATAGCACACATGTTCCTTTCAAAGAGAAGAAAACATTTATAATTTTTCAAGGTCAATAATCTCATGGTTGAAATGCAAACTGTACTATTTGAAATAGGTGGTATAGGTATTTCAGAGTCTGTATTACATCTTGCCAGTTTATTGTTCGAGGGAATATTCTCATCAAATAAACTATGTAAAGATTTGCTTTTTAATGCAAAGTATTTTTATAAGTAATAACTTCATTTCAACTTACAATGAACAGTTAATCAATGCATCTCACTTTGTATATAATGCATTTTAGAACACACATTTGTGGTTTAAAACATGTTGTAATAGTTTAATAATGCTATTCATTTTTTTTAATTGACAAGAAATGAAAATGTAATGATTATTTCAAAATAGTGTTTTATTCCTCTTATGTATATTTATAGATATGTAAAAGATTGTTATTTTTATTGATGTTATGTTTGTGTACAAAATACTAGTTATTTATTACTTTATACAAAACTAATGTTGTGAAGATTGATAATAATAGAAGTCCTTATGCATATATTGAACAGTATACAAATGTCACTAATGTAATACACATTTACAAATAAAATGAAATTTTAAATAACTTGCACATATTTGCATTATTTGTTACAGTTATAACAAATCTAATTCGTTGTATTTATGGTTTCCAATTTTTATTGTCTATTCAAACATGGAAAAATTATATGTGTAATGATGTTAAGGACACAAGAATATGAATTAAAATAAGACTGTATGAACTACCTTTAGATTTATGAATTCAGTAGACAGTGACTGTGACAAATGTGTATTTAGGATAGAGATCTTAGACATGAGAAGAAAAGGGGTTGTTTTACAAACTTTTTTTTTGCATGGGGAAATATTGACATTTTTATACAACAACAAATGAAGTTACTGGAATTGTGAAGTCTATGTGTCTTCTGTGAGTAGACATCTTTTGAAACAAATGTAGCTTGTGGCCAGAAATATTCTAGACCCAGTAGTAACGGTCTTTTGCACAAGGTCATAGTCACTGTACATCAAAGTATAAAATACTTACCAATAATTGTTTGTAACCTCAGAATATGGTCCTAACACGGGTTAATACAGGTCAAAGCCATAGGGTTTAGAAATGTAATAAATATTCAGATAAACACATAATTCTGTTTGTTTGATGACTTTAACTTTTCAATCGTCAACTTCCCTTACTTATGCAGCAATATACCTTCATCACCTGCATACGGGGAATATATCTCTCAGCTGATTCGATACGCAAGAGCATGCTCTACGTATGTACAATTTCTAAAACGAGGTAAATTATTGACAAATAAGTTGATGAGACAAGAATATCAGCTGTCTCGTTTAAAGTCATCATTTCGTAAGTTCTATGGTCGATACAATGACCTTGTCAGCAAATACAATATATCATTGAGTCAAATGCTGACTGACGTTTTTCATACTAATTGTTGAGCCATTATTTACACACTGAATTGTCGACGGATTTTTTTCGTTATTTCCCGATCATGACAAGGAGCACACGGCGGGTGTGACCGGTCGGCAGGGGATGCTCACTCCTCCATGGCACCTGATCCCACCTCTGATGTTTGGAGGTCCGTGTTTGCTCTGCTCCTATTTTGTATTGTTTTATGGACTTCTGAGCTTGAATACTGTTCGTTATCACCATATATTTCATTTGTTATACATCCTTTAAGAATTTTTCACTAGTATTGAGACACCACAACTTGCTGGTTGAGGGCTGCAAATTTAGACCTGTACTTTTGAGCAGTGAGAGGTCTTTTCTTGTCCCAGCATATACTGCAACAAGGGAATTTGGCTTCATTGGAAGAACCGGTCTCCACGTCCTTCAGTGGGATTTGTACCTATGACTTAAGGAACAAGTCCTTACTCCACTGCTCTAGAGCAAATGCTCTGACCACTGCGCCAAGCGGGCAATCACATTATTGTTATACTATATGTAAATCAAGGAAAAGGGATAATTGTGACTTGGGGATGTATAACAACCCTGCATCAAGTTCAATTTTTGTCCACTATAAAATAACTTCCAAAGATTATATTATCTTAGGGTTCATTATGCTCAGAGTATATGACATAAACTGGATATATAAAATTCTAAAATACAATTTTTTTTTTAGAAAAGTACAAGGTTATAATTTCAAGAGGTCATATCTAGCATGTACAGGTGATTGTGGCTTAGATGATGATTCTATACCATAAGTCATCATGTGAGTACGAAGTTTTAAATCAATGTGTTTCTTTGGTGGTGGATGAAATATTTTCTTAACGTTACAATTACTATCGGTCATTTACTATATTTCCATAAGATTCAGGACATGAAAATTTGTCTACGAATAGACATCACCCAATTAGTTCCTTCTAGTTAAAATAAGGAATCATCATACTGGGTTTTAAAGTGCCTAATATTTTACTTAAATGCAAATTGACCAATAAATACTGGTATGAGAAGTATATTTATGCATGTGTAGTTTTTTATTTAAATAATTAGAAAAAAGAAAATGGTCTACATAATCATGTATATATATATATTCTGGTCTCCTTTATGCATTATATATACTTGGTCTACTTTAACCCTTCGGGATCCTCATAAAATATATACATGTCTACCTAAAACCTCCAATGCATTTACAAAATATTAAGGAGACCAGAAATGTCGTACATTTTTCAGGAAGCAACATTTAGGGCTGAGGGGGTAAAATTTTCATTTTTGAAGCCTATTAGAATAAATTTGGGTGAAAGTGTGAATCAGAATGTCTCAAATAAAAGAAATGAAAAATGTCTACTTAATGCCTCAAAATAAGTGCGGTCTACTTTATGCCAAAGTTCACCTTATATATATATATATATATATTATATATATATATATATATATATATATATATATATATATATATATATATATATATATATATATAGTCAGAGAATCAAAAACTTAATAATATGAGCTTACAAACCATAACAGTTATTTATCCAAGAAAGAACTCAAACAAAATCATGCATGTTTTCTTTTTAATGAAATTCCTTCTCAAAGAGCTTCACCTTCACAGACCATAAAGCAGGGTTAATGCGTGTACTACAAAAATAAAAGAAAAACATAGTGTATTATTTATAAGTTTAATTCCACTTCTTTTCTAATGTTGAATGGACGTGTAACGGATTTAATCATTTGTACTGTTAAAATAAATATGCACGCGGTAAAAATGTGTTTGATCACAACAAAAACAGGAAAATGTGTATTGATTATAAATTTTAAAAAAAGTCCTCAGAATGTTTTACCCTTTTTCCGTGCGGTCACAAATCCTTGCTCTCTTTATGTTATACAGTTAATGAATTATATATTTCAATAACAATAACATTACCCTCTTTTCCTTTCTACTGATTTTTCTCCAAAAAGAACATGGAACATTTCTCGGAGATTTGCCCGTTAGTGTACCACTTAGCATTGCATCCACCGCAGTAATTATTTCTATACACGATAAAAATGATGAAACAGTTAAACATTTTTTACTTCATGTACACATACATCCTTACATTTAGGGTCCACCCGTAACATACAAAAGATACAAGTTAATCGAAAGCGAGGATAATCCAGCAAAGTGACCAAAGTCTTTATGATTTCTCAATTTTCATCATTGAATTTGGTTTTCAAGATATAAAAAATTGAAAAGTTGAGACGGAAGAATTTCTTAAACATTACTTCCTATAATTACACTATAAATTGAGAGAGAACATATTTTTCAAACATTACTTTCTATAATCTCTACTTTATAGTGCTCACTTGCAGACGGCTCCAGCCTCATCACATGTCGTCATGTCACACGGCTCCTTGGGACATTTTCCTTTCATGCTCGGGTAGCGGGCGCTGCATTTTTCCTTATCATCTTCAAAGCTCTGAACAACTGTAGAAACATGATAAGAACCTTGCAATCATAAAACTTCTTGCAATTGGAAGTTCCATTTTCGTAGACTTCATGGGTTAATTTGTTGAGAAGGATATGTGTTTCCTACATTTTATACTTAAAATGAGCATTATATAATAATAAATGAGTATTATATAATGATAAAGGTATTTTAAAGCATTTTGTAATATGGGGAATAATGGACACAATTCATTTTGCTTCACATTCAACAAAGTAGTAGAGGTATGTGATTTGTTACTTTGCAACAACTGCATATAATCCAGTGTAAGAACTTTAGAGTCTACTTTAAATCCAGGTCCATCTGCTGAAGCATTAGAAATAAGACTGATTCCTTTATGTGTTTAGTTCAAGGTTTTAATATCCTTTGTATTAGTACAACTCACTTTGACTCTAGTGTTACAAATTAAAGTTTGTTAATAGAAGGTTATAAGAATACTTTTAGAAAAGATCGTAATTCTTATGATGGCAGAGTAATGACTTTTGCTTCAAATTTAATTAAGGCTAGTCGTAGAGAAGATTTAGAACCCATTGATACTGAAATCATTTGGATAGAAATACCACAAGTAAAGGGAAATCTACTTATATGCTGTATTTACCGTCCACCATATATACTAGTAGTACCTTTTGGTAGCCTGGTTCCCTGTCCCTGTTATGCTTCGTATACTCCTGCCTTGGCAAGGATGAGCCAGGGAACCAGGCTATACCTTTGGCAAAAACTCTCTTGGTCTATGGAAAACGCCAATGATATTTCTAACAATATTGTAATATTTGGTGACCTTAACATTGATTTCTCATAAGTAAATGGTTCACATGAGGTTCATACAATTATGAATAGCTAAAGATTAACAAATATTATACTTGAACCAACAAGGGCCCAAGTTGATCAATGACTGATAAATTAATTAATATTTATTATATAATTAATTAATAAATAAACTACGTGTAATACCGACACCCTCACAAATCTTATCACCATCAGTGAAAATATACATGTACATGATTCTGCTACTCTAAATACACTTAGTGATCATCGAGCTTGAAAAAGTTCAATTATTTGCTGCAAGGATAATTACTGGGCTTACAATTATTGCTTCAAGAAATTCATTATATCTGGAAACAGGTTGAGAACCTTTGGAACTCAGAAGAAATAGAGCAAAATTAATAACAATGTAAACAAGATGTGTTTGTGAAACACTGATGCCCCCGTATGGCAACTTATAGCAAAGGTGAAACTTTCTCAAATGCAAATCAAATATGTTGGTACCCAAAGTAAGGTCTTGTCTCGAGGAATATACCTGTGAAATATGAGAGCAACAACCATTGAAAAGATATGGAAAAGGTTGAAGTTTTTCAAAAGTAAGTCAAACATCAAGGTCAAGGTCAAATGGTAAAAAATAATGGTGCCTAAGGAAAGGCCTTCTCACAAGAAATATACTGGTCAAATATGAAAGCTGAAGCACCAATCGTTCAAAGGTTATTACCAAAGTTTAAGTTTTCCAAAAGTACGTCAAACTCCAAGGTCAAAGTCAATGGATTATAATTGTTGGTATCCAAAGGAAGGTCTTGTCACAAGGATTACATATGTGAAGTATGAAAGATCAAGCACCAATTGTTCACAAGTTATGACCAAGGTTAAAGGTTTTCAAAAGTAGGTCAAACTCCAAGGTCAAAGGGTCAAAGTTGTTGGTATCCAAAGGAAGGTCTTGTCACATGGATTACATATTAAGTATGAAAGTCCTAGCATCAATTGTTGAAAGGTTATGGCCAAGGTTAAAGTTTTTCAAAAGTAGGTCAATCTCCAAGGTCAAGGTCAAAGGGTCAAAGATATTGGTATCCAAAAGGAAGGTCTTGACACAAGGATTATATATTTGAAGTATGAAAGCCTTAGCACCAACCGTTCAAAAGTTATGGCCAATGTTAAAGTTTTTTAAAAGGAGGTCAAACTCCAAGGTCAAAGGGTCAAAGTTGTTGGTATCCAAAGGAAGGTCTTGTCAAAAGGGTTACACATGTGAAGTATGAAAGCCTTAACTCCAACTGTTCAAAAGTTATGGCCAAGGTTAAAGTTGGGTAAAATTTTGTAAAACTAGGTCAAACTCCAGGTCAAAAGGTCAAATATGGTGGTACTCAAAGAAAGGTCTTGTCACAAGGAATACACATGTGAAATATGAAAGCCATAGCTCCAACCAATCAAAAGTTATGGGCAATGTTAAAGTTTTTGCGGACAAACAGATAAACAGACAAACAGACAGACAGACGGACGGACAGGGCAAAAACTATATACCCCCGAATCTTCGATACGGGGGCATAAAAATGCACAATAATTTAGTACCTACTTATATACAAAATGTAGTACCTGATACAAGAGGCAATATTTCAAGTTATACTACTAGAAATTCCTTAGATTATTCTAATTATCTAATATCATTAGACTATCGCCAAAATGCAGATTAGAATTATTTATCAAATCATTTATTCCTGATACTGTCAAAAGGTGGAATGCCCTTAGTCTTAAAACAAGGGAGACAATTCTTTAATATTTTTTAAAGAATTGTCTGCACAAAATATGGTAAAACCTCAAAAATATTTTTCATATGATTTTTTAAATATAATTCACACAAGATTGGAACACAATTGTATTTGAAACTCTTGAATTATTCCGTTGTAATTTAATAGCCAGCTCGTGGTTTATTAGAAGATGCTTACCATCTGTTTTTGTTTTTGTTTTTTTTTTTTTTTGTTTCAGTTTTTTTTCCTTTGATTTTAATGTACAAAATACTTATCAAGATTATTCAAACTTTTCTAAATGAATGTGGTCGTTTTTCTAAAAAAAAATTAATTTTTACAATGAAAATTTATATTTTGTGCATTTAATGAAGATTTCAATTTTTTTAAAAAAAATGATTTTTAGTACTATACATATGAAGTAGACTATGTAATATAAGGCCAAATAAAAAAATATGTGTGGTTCCGGTTACCCGACCTTCCCTACTTTATACCCCCGACCCTAAATTTTTTTTGGCAATTTTCACATTTTTTCCGGAATTTCGATTTCCATCAATGGCTCCAGTTTAAGTTTTAGTTTCAGCAATGACGGCCTCCTTGCAAAACATATTGCAAGTGTTTAATAGTGTTAAATCCAAAGCAAGCTAGCATATAGGTGTCCCCTACCAATATTGACTAGTATATTATCACACCACATCTAAATGCCATTTGCAAAGCAGTGATAGATATTATTTAGAAAAAATTAAGAAAATCATTTTGTTAAAAAAAAAAAAAAAAAAAAATCCCTACCTACCTACCCTAATTTTTTTGGAAGTGTAACCGGAACCACACATATTTTTTTGTTTGGCCTAAACATGTATTTATATTTTGGCAATTATACAAAACTGTTGTATAAGGAGAAGACTACCAAAGTTTCAGAACTTGTGTCTGATCCTTTTCACTTTGTGTCAATAAAATTTGTTCAATTCAATTCAGAGTCTACTACACACATTTAATATGCACAATGGTAGAGAACCTTTAGCTTGAATGGAAACCCACCTTGCTTCGGCAGTAAAAAATGAGTTATGATTAAAAAAAATTTGAAAGGTTTTAAATTACGACTGTCACAGTTTTCAAAAAAGTTTACATCTCTCTTAGACATAAAAATAACAATCTATGAAAAGCTTTAAAGTAGCAAAAATGTGATACTTACGATAGATTGAAATCACAAGCAGGAAAACAGGAAAGATCTTCATGATGACAGTGTGTAGCTTTGGCTTCAGAATATATCTGGAGAAAGCTGTACTTTCACTGGATTTTATATCTCATTCTAAATTATGTAGTACAACGAACTGTAAAATTATTACTTAGATGATTGTATTTAGATGATTAATTAATTCATTAGTCATATATCAACTTGGGCCATTTTTTCAGCCATATGTATATAATTATACATTTTTACACTCGGGGGATTGCTATGTCAAATTGCATAATTTTGAAATACCAGGCACACTTCTGTACAAATTACAAAGTTCTTTTGCAAAAATGCTCATTACTTGTGGGTCATATTTGAAAAATAAACTTTATATGATGGATTATTACATTCTCAACAGTAATACTACATATAATTTATCCATTGAATAAAGGTAATATTTAAAAGTGATATTTTTCACAGTGAAAAATATCAAAAGTGATATTTTTAACTGTAAAAAATATCAAAAGTGTGGAGAAGCTGTAGATTTTCCTTCCCTTCACGAAGAATGTTATAAAAAAATAGTCCAGATTAAGCGAAATAAACCATCCTGAAAGAGACTAAAACAGCCCAAGTTTCTCCAAATTGTTGTTAAAATTAAAATATCATACTAGTATATAATATATTGACCATTATCTATGAGATGTTTGGTTCATTATCTCAGCTTAGCACGACATACTATAGTGTTCTTGAAAATTCCATAAATTCTTGAACACTTGTCCGTTGAAAAAAAAAACAGATTTTTTCGGTTTTTGTTGTTTTATATATAGTTCTGTGCAACGTCGTATATTGAATGTACAATCAAAATTGTTTTATCAGCGAATCTCTGTGCAATGATTACAATTTAATATTTATCTTCACCTGCACATGTATTTTTGCCAAAGATAAATCACATCAATATAGATATGGACAGGACTTTATTCTAAGTATTTGCTCTACAATGTCGACAATAAACATGCTGTTTTGTGTCCCATCATTTTTCATCTTGGACGCGTTAGGAGACGATCATCACAAAAACCTTTTAATGAGCCTGCAATGATTGTTTTGTCATCGTCAGACATATTTATTGGTCCGTCTGTCCGGTTTCTCTTATAAACTTACCTTTTAATATATGGATATTACAGGCCCTGGTGATAACACACGAAATCTTTACCTGGGACTAGAGATAACATTCCCCGGTTGTTCACTTTCTATGTTTCTACCCGTACAAGATAACTATTTTTGGTGAATATCGAGGAACTTACACAAGGTTCTAGAGAGAAAAAAGTTTTGGCGCCTTGGACAGTAATACTTACCCAGAAGGTAACATTAAATGAACAATTAGTGTAGACTTATCTCATTTATGATCTTCAGTGAATTTATCTAAGAATTTATTAACTTTACAATTTGCTACAAACAGGGGCTTATTTTAGTATACATTCATATACCGTTATCTCTAGCTGCAGATTTGTAGTTTGCTGGTCTGAAAAAAAAACTGAGAAGGACGACCAGAGAGCTACAGTGTAGTGCCACCCATTGAGAAAAGAGCATAATTATTGCGCACAAAAATGCGCTGTTTCTCGATTTATTTCTTCGTATATTTAAGCTGTCATCTCAAAATATCACTAACCAAGTGTTCTTGCAAATTCTTTCACTACTTCCACAACTATGTGTACAAGTCTTGCACGAAGTGCGTTGGACTGAATTGTCTTGTCACCCAAAATGGCAGAGTAAATAGGCGAAATTTTCGATGGTCTCAATTTCAAACCCAGAATAGCTATTAACAACGGTCTTTTGGGGAATGTCTTTTGTGGATGTAGTACTTGTTTGTACTCAATAAATACATGTATACGTTTCTTCAATGGGTGGCACTGTAGCTCTATAGTCGTCCATCCCAATTTTTTCAGACCAGCGAGCTATAGATCTGCAGCTAGGGTATTCTCAACAGTTTCCATAGAAAGGATTTATAAAATGACATATTTCCAATTTCTAGATTTCTTCAACCTGAGTTTACAAATGTTAAGTGAGTTACGAATTCGAGAAAAGATCTTTTCAATTTTGTTTTAAAACTGATTTCATACAATAAGAACAAAAAATAAAATTTTGATATGTCTCTCTATGGATGCTCGTATAATTTTTTTAGATTGTAAGATTTAAAAGAAGTATTCAAGCCTAGTCACATTTGAAATACAATTTAAAAAAAAAATATATTAATTTTCCTAAAAGTTTTGCTTCACGTTTTACAATTGTCTACTTATATCTTGTTGCTAAGTAAAAAAGACAACTATATACCACAAAAACCACATGGTCGATCAACACTGACAACAGGCACTAATACTAATTAAGTGGGTTATATTACTGGATGGTATTGGACAATATTTACAAAAGTCCCTTGGTCATTGTTTGATGCAAAAATATCCCGTCTACTGATCAACGCTTCCCCTTCCTGGTACGCTTTCTTGTGTACTCTGCATTATGAGGACATGGATCTATTTTTGTTTTCTTCGACTGGTCCACAATAATTCTTGTCTGTAACTAAAATGCAGTGGTTTCTATTTATGGATTCATCATAGATTTAAGGTAATGGAACAGATGCAATTATTGCAATAGATATAGTCTTTAATTAATTATTAAATCAAAAGAATAGGCATATTAGTAATTTTTCTGTGTGAACCTGGCAGGTGCATTTCGTTTTGACAAGGTTGTTGGAGATTAATAATGCTCTGTGACAGCAACTGGTATGGAGAAGGGCATCTGACCTAAGTAAAAGGTATATTCATACGTTTATTTATAGAAGAGATTACGGAAGCGTATTAGGGCCGCAGCAGTATCTTTTATTAATTTGTTTTAACAAATTACTAATTTGTTATAACAGATTACTAATTTGTTATAACAGATTACTAATTTGTTATAACAAATTACTAATTTGTTATAACAAATTATCAATTTGTTATAACAAATTACTAATTTGTTAAAACAAATTACTAATTTGTTATAACAAATTATCAATTTGTTATAACAAATTATTAATTTGTTATAACAGATTACTAATTTGTTATAACAAATTACTAATTTGTTAAAACAAATTATCAATTTGTTAAAACAAATTATCAATTTGTTAAAACAAATTATCAATTTGTTAAAACAAATTACTAATTTGTTAAAACAAATTACTAATTTGTTATAACAGATTACTAATTTGTTATAACAGATTACTAATTTGTTATAACAAATTACTAATTTGTTATAACAAATTATCAATTTGTTATAACAAATTACTAATTTGTTAAAACAAATTACTAATTTGTTATAACAAATTATCAATTTGTTATAACAAATTATTAATTTGTTATAACAGATTACTAATTTGTTATAACAAATTACTAATTTGTTAAAACAAATTATCAATTTGTTAAAACAAATTACTAATTTGTTATAACAGATTACTAATTTGTTATAACAGATTACTAATTTGTTATAACAGATTACTAATTTGATATAACAAATTATCAATTTGATATAACAAATTAATAATTTGTTATAACAAATTATTAATTTGTTATAACAAATTGGTAATTTGTTATAACAAATTAATGATTTTGATGAAGTGAAAGTGTATACAGATCTATGGAAGCCAGATGAGATCAGAAATCTTTTTATAAGTTGGATTTGTGAAAATAATAAATGTACAAGCTCTGCAGCTACAGCTTTTGACCAATATGTTAATCTGGATTTACATCTTTTAGCATTTAGAGTTTTCACTGTCAAACATTATTGTTATAAAGATACAATGCATCAAATTCTTTGGTTCCTATTTACTTATTCTTAGGAGCTCTATTTGAATTTTGTCCTCCTCCCCCACCATGGCTCCGTCCTTGACTCCCATTTACCTGGTCATTGCATCCCCGTTCGTATGCTAGGAAAAAATATCTTATCAAAGACATGTTATTTGGAGAGGGAATTTTTCCCACCCTGAATCAACATGTTCATTATAATATGTTTTTTTTCAATATGTCTTTTATTTTATTTCATTTACCCCCCCCCCCCTCCCTCTCTCTCTCGATTCATTCTATACATGTACCAAATGATTTATGCCTACTGTTCAATCCAGTTTATGTATCATGAATAAAATATATTTTAAACTAAACCGCCGTTCCTAATGCATAAACCTGAATCTGCTCTTCTGGTGAACCTCCTTAGCCCCAATTTATGCTGGGGGCAATAAAGGCAACATTAATAAAAAAATGAATTTGTAGATAAATTATCATAGAAAAATTGATAAACACTCTGTAATAACCTTTTCTGAAAACGAAAATAAACAATATTCTTGAGTGGGTAGTACTTCGTAAAATTTGAATTTAGATACCTTGTGAAATTTTTTCATGTATGTATGTAATTTTTATAATCAAAATACGTGCCTTTTGGAAAAACCCTCGAAGTCCCATTAAAGCCTTCATAACTTATTATTGGCTGAAAACTTTGACAGTTGTTTCTTCAAATTCATTTGTAATTTGTATCCTGGTTGTCTCATATAGGACTACTCATATATTTTACAAGAAATCGTTAAGCAATATAATTTGTTATAACAATACACACAAAATATTACACATGTGTAAAGAAGGAAAAAATAGGTCTTCTCCCCTTTTGACCCCTGTGTTGACATTGAAAAAAGTGTTGATTTGAATGGACGACGTTGAAGTCATATTTAATTGTCCGGAACTTCGAATTTTTCTCGAAGGATCCAACATTCTGTATTTCTTCTACATAATCCCTGGGATGCAGCTATTCTTTTAATTGTCTAACAGAGAAATCTATTCCAAGGAACTGACTCAAAAAAAACAACAACAAAACAAAACAAAAATTAAAAAAAAAAACTGCAATTAAACAAAAATTAAAGTGCTTTAATCTAAGTTGCTAATTCATCTAAATCCACATTAACATATTGATCAAAAGCTCTCCAAAGCTTATGCTTAACGTGTTCATAAACCCGATTTAAAATAAGATTTCTGATCTGATCTGATCTGGCTTCCATAGATCTGTATTCACCTTCATATTTTGTAAAAAATAATAATCTTTTAAATCAAATTACTAATTTGTTATAACAAATTACTAATTTGTTATATCAAATTAATAATTTGTTATATCAAATTATTAATTTGTTATAACAAATTAGTAATTTGTTATAACAGATTAGTAATTTGTTATAACAAATTAATAATTTGTTATAACAAATTACTAATTTGTTATATCAAATTGATAATTTGTTATATCAAATTAGTAATTTGTTATAACAAATTAGTAATCTGTTATAACAAATTAGTAATCTGTTATAACAAATTAATAATTTGTTATAACAAATTGATAATTTGTTATAACAAATTGATAATTTGTTATAGCAAATTGATAATTTGTTATAACAAATTAGTAAGTTGTTATAACAAATTAGTAATCTGTTATAACAAATTAGTAATCTGTTTTAACAAATTGATAATTTGTTATAACAAATTGATAATTTGTTATAACAAATTAGTAATTTGTTATAACAGATTAATAATTTGTTATAACAAATTGATAATTTGTTATAACAAATTGATAATTTGTTATAACAAATTAGTAATTTGTTATAACAAATAAATAATCTGTTATATCAAATTAGTAATCTGTTTTAACAAATTGATAATTTGTTATAACAAATTGATAATTTGTTATAACAAATTAGTAATTTGTTAAAACAAATTAATAAAAGATACTGCTGCGGCCCTATTACGCTTCCGTAAGAGATTGACTCAGAAGAGAATGACCAGAAATAAGCGAGTTTTCAATAACGGGATTACCTCACAGTTTACGTTTTCATGTTTGCCCTTAGTCTGTTCCTAAACAACATAAAAGAGTGTTTTTAATTGACCTGAGAGTATAAGAAGCAAGATGTCTTATCGTTCTGAATGCTGACAAGGCCTGGATACAACTGAATTTTATTGTAAATAGAACCCTTAAGTCCCCGACAAAAGGCCTACTATATATATGTTATAAAGTCTTCCGCTCTCAACATTGAATCATAATCCGAGAAGATAAATCGACCACCGGTGTTTGTCAAGTGTCGCTGAAGGCAGGTAGTTATAGGACAACCAAGAAAAGTAAACACACGGGGACTCGACAGAACGTGTATGTCTTTTGGAGAGACTCGTCAAAAATCTGTCACTTGAATGCTATGAACAAATACTGCAACCACAAAAAGGTTCCCGGTGAATTTCAATGTGTGCTTTGTTATATTAAAAGTTTCCTACTCCTAGAGGTTTATGTATACTCAAGTTTTTCTGTCGTCA